AAAAAAAAAAAGATTGAATTTTTACAAGGCCCTGATAGTTAGTTGAATGAAATGGCTTCATTTAGTATTTGTTTGCAAGCAACTCCTTATTACTAAAGCATAGTAATAAAATTCTCAATAGAAACATATAATCTTTGTTTTGTCGACTGAGAGTTTTATGTGTGCTCACAAAAAAAATAAAATATTGCTTTTTGCATTTTTCCAGGGAAGACATACATGTTCAGGGTCTCGAACATCGGCTTGTCCACATCTATCAATTTCAGGATTCAAGGTCACAAAATGAAGCTCGTCGAGGTTGAAGGGTCTCATGTGCTTCAGAATATCTATGATTCTCTTGATATTCACGTCGGCCAATCCGTATCAGTTCTAATCACCTTGGATCAGTCCCCGAAGGATTATTACATAGTTGCCTCCACCAGGTTCACACAAACAGTCCTTACGGCTACTGGCGTGCTGCACTACTCGAACTCCCAGACACCGTTATCTGGGCCTGTCCCAGCTGGCCCGACTATAGAAGTGGATTGGTCCATTGATCAAGCTAGATCTTACAGGTATAAACAACCAGATTATCGAGCCCATGAAAAACTCGGGCTTGGCCACAAATCCACAGCTCCAGCTGTATTACACTGAAATTTTGATGTCTTTTCTTCATTTCTATCTTTTTTTACGGCACACGGTTGATAATAATTTAATAATTTCATTTTCAGGTGGAACTTGACCTCAAATGCAGCTAGGCCCAACCCTCAAGGTTCGTTCCATTATGGGAAAATAACTCCAACGAGGACAATCATTCTGGCCAACACAGCACCTGTCATCAATGGCAAGCAAAGATATGCAGTCAACGGCATTTCCTACATCAATCCCGACACCCCTTTGAAGCTTGCAGATCACTACAACATTCCTGGAGTTTTCAGTGTCAACTCCATCCAGAGCTCACCATCTGGCGTTGGGCCCAGCCTTGGGACTTCTGTGTTGGGAGCCTCACTCCATGACTTCATTGAGGTCGTGTTCCAGAACAACGAGGACACGATCCAGTCGTGGCATCTCGACGGTTATGATTTCTGGGTTGTTGGGTATGTATTCTCAAAGCTTTCTTTTTTTTTTTTTAACAAAGAAATTATTTGAATAAAATTGAAGTTATAAACATTTTTT